TCCGCGGAGCCCCGTGGAAGCTCCTCCAGGCTGCCCCCCCCGCGCCAGCCATGCACCCAGTTCCTGCCCTCTCCCTCCCCTTCCCGGCCCCACTCACCTTCCACGCCAGCGGCCCCCTCCGGATGTTCTTCCTCGCCTGCGTCGCCCCCTCCCTCGGAGCCAGGCCCTTCCGGCTCCCCGTCCTCCCCTGCAGGATCTGAGAGGGAGGCAGGGAGGGGAGCCGGTCAGGAAGGGAGGGGGACCCCGGGTAGGGGGTCACCCCACGCCCGGATCGGCAAACGGGGGTGGGGGTTCCTTCCAGCATCATCCCAAACGCCCCAGCCTTGCCACTTAGAATGTCCCCCCCCCGCACCAAAAAACCCGAGTCGTGGCGGGGATGTGGTGGGGAGGGAGCGAAGAAACGCCAGCGCTCCCGCCCCCTTTCTGTCCCCACCTTGCCCGAGGGCACCGCCCTGCCCGGGCGGCGGGGCAGAGCGCGGCGAGGCTGCTCGGGACCGGTTGGGGCCCCAGCGAAGGTGGGCCGACGGAAGCCCTTCTCCCCGGAACCTGACCGCCCGCACCTGCCCGCCGGCCCGCACCTGTCTGGAAGTCGATGGTTCGCAGCATTTCGGCCACGTGGTCGACGCTGACGGCGAAGCGGTCCAGGTTTTCGTAGCCGGGCTCCGGGCGGCTGTTCATGGACACCTTGGACATGTCCGTGATCCTGCGGAGGGAGAGCCCCCCCACCCGCCCCCAGGGAGAAGCCAGAGCTGGAGAGGTGGCCGGGCGGGAGGGGGGCCGCAGGGGTGCCCCCTCCCGAAGGGGAGCCTCTCCCCTGCCCCTCCCTCCTCTGCGGAGGCCGACCAAGGGGGAGCGCGGGGGCTGGAGCTGTCTCCCTCCCTCCCTGGGCCAACCCCCGCGGGATGAAGGAGCGCGCGCGGGGACGGGTGGGTTTGTCTTTGGCGAAGCACTTGCCCCCTCCGTCTCTGGGGACTCACTTCTTGATCAGCTCCTTCGACTGCTGCAGGGAGAGGAAGGGAAGGGAAGAGAGGCCCCGTCAGCCCCTGGTTTGCTCCC